TAGGGTGACATGTGTGGATAAAAATATTCTTATAGAAACCACACGCACACACATATATATATACATACCGTAATATTACATATTATAAATTATAAAAGTAAGATTCGAAATGTTATTATAATATAATTGTCGGTGTGTTTCTTTTTATTTCTTTTATTGTAATAATTTCGAATTAAATTTTATACTACCGACGTAGTTCTCTCGTTTATTATTTTTTCTCTTGTTCCTATTTTTTCGTACCCCCCTACCATTCATTGTTTTTTTTTTTTTTATTTTTCCAACGCATTCCCTCTACGAATACGCGTGGAATTTCTACTATAAAATATATATCTTCGTATTGTCAAAGTTATTTTTACGTAATACGTATATAATATACGTACGTAGAATTTTTTGTTGTTCATATATATATATATTATATACACACACATATAATCCCTGTAGCATATTTATCTAATATTTCTTTACAATAGGTAGACTATCACGTTGGTTTTCTACAAAAATTATTCAAGAAACATGTGGAATGTACCCCTTCTTCTTATCGTATACTTTCGGATCGATAAACCTAAACGATAACGAATTTGGAACGCAGTAACGACTGAAAGGAAACGAAAAATGCTGACTGACTGACTGACTGACTGACTGACTGAAGATAACTAGATAAGTTAGAAATAAATATGATTAATAGTTAAATCGAATTTAAGAGGAAAGTAAATGAAAAAGAAAAAACAAAAAATAAATATAAATAAGAAGAAAATATTATTTTTCTTCTCTTCTTCCTCCTCCTCCTTTTTTTTTAGTTAAACGATAGATGATCCTCGTATTTCTTTTTTCTTTATTTTTTTAGAAGAATAAATTTCAACGAGGTCCATTATGATATTATTTTGGGGTGGAGTGGAGGGAACTTTAAAAAATCCTCTCTCTCTCTCTCTCTCTCTCTTTCTCACTTTCTCTCATTCTATATTGACAAGTAGTGTATAATAAAAAAAATACGCATTTCGAGCCGTGTGTCGTTTGATTTGATTAGTTGTTATACTGTTAGATTCGAGGCTGACTTACTGGTAGATTTTGCGAGCACGCTTTTGCGAACCTGTGTTAGACATACCTCGTGGGGTACCTTTAAACAGAACGATCTTTTATTATTGAGCTTTAGGTGTCTGGTCTTTCGACTATTAAAGGGGGTAGAGAAGGTGGAAAAAAAGATGAAACTTCGTAGATCATTTTTAGAATAATTACATCAATTGTAATTTGTATTCTACATTACAATATTGAATGACATTTTTCGAAGATTATTTTTAATGTCATTTTAACAACGATCGCTAATAAAATTACGTTCCAAAAACGGCCGTATCTCTCGTCGTGCAAAAGTATTATTTTCAATGAAAACTAAATGACGTTAAATAAATCATCATCATCATCATACCCTATCCCTTGATTTATGCGAAATCTTTCTTTTTTTTTTCTTTTTTTTATGGGGACAGAAATCCGCGTTAAATTAAATCTGGGTCGGTGGTGTGATGAAAAGGAATAACCATAAAGATACTACGAAGTTGTATAAATATTTTATGTCGTATAGGTTGAAAAAGAAATAGAAAAATGGTAACATAATAAAAAATAATTTGATTAATTTGGTAGTTTTCGCGTATCCGCGTACTTCAAAGCTGATGACATTTTTCTTTTTAATTGGCTCAAAGTCGAATCACTCTCTCTTTGGATATCTTGTCTTTTTTTTTCTTTTTTTTTTTTCTACTCGCATAAAATGTTATCGGGAATAACGATAAATTGCAAAAATCCAAATTATTCGAAATAAAAATAAAATAAATCGGATACAGGGGACCCCGTGTATAAAAGTACTATGTAAACGATTAGATATATAATATATCATTGTTATTTTTCATATATATATATATTTTTGTAATAATAATTTTTTACATAAATCAAGGGATATGATGTATATATCGATGACATTAAAAGAATTAACGAAAAATGCGATAAATTTATAACTGACGAAATGAAATATGAATAATGAATATTCGATGACAAACGAGAGACTCGGTAAGAAAGATGATGCAAAACGATAATAATTTGATGTACCGAATTGTTTTCTGACCAGCTTTGAGCATGCATAATAAATAATACATTTCGTGCCTCTCGAGGATTTCCGTCGATTTGTTTGTTTGTTTTTTTTTGTTTTTTTTTTTTTTTAATTTTGAGAATCGATCTTTTCGAAATAATTCTTTGGATTTTTCAATATAAAACAAAATTATTATATACACCCAATAAAAAATTCCTTTTTTTTTTATTTTATTTGAGTATCATCATCTTAAATTATCTACTTTTTTGCAAATAAGTCATTATTATAAATATAAAGTAGGTAAAATAATTTGTTAAATTATATTCGTACTTTTCTTTCTCGAAATGATCGATTCTTTATTGAAAAGCCACGAATACGACGACGACGACGACGACGACGACGACACCGAAGCATCTTAATAAATCATGCTTAATTAATAATGAACAATAAATGACTTACTGTTCTTCTTGTAGAGCAGAATCTCGAATTGGTCGTGAATTTGGCCCTCGAGGCATTCTTCGATCCTTGTGATCGTATCCTTGTTCGTTAGTTCCCCGTACATGAATCCACATCGGCATGACTTTTGCATAACCTGTGTACAAAATTTTTTCTAATCTTAATATTTAAATACTTTTATATTTTTTTGTTCTTTTTTTTTTTATCTTTTTGTTTCTCTCCCCCCACCCCCCAACAAACGGTCTCATTTATCCTATTAAATTCATTTAATTTTTAAGGTGTGAACATAAACATTAATCGGATTATTTACACGACATGATTTTACTATACACGAGTTTACTATACACGTCTCTCTCTCTCTCTCTCTCTCTCTCTCTCTCTCTCTCTCTCTTTCTCACATCGTCCAACTACAATGAGAGATATAACCGAAACAGGTTTTGATGTATTGCTTTTGTAATTTAACGGACGTACGTGGTAATCGCGAAATCATTTTCCGTGTGCATGCCAATGCTAAAAATAATAATAATCGAGAGATATCCTCTTGATCTTTCCATCATTGTTTTGCGTGACATACCGAGTATTAAAATGTATAGTGAATAATATCTATGTGGAATAATATTTTACGTGATACCTAATCAGCTTAGGTTATTTTTAATTTTTCGATAAAACGCTAACTTTTACGGGTTTTTTTGTTTTGTTTGTTTGTTTGTCTTCTTATTATTGTCCGATACGATGAATTAAAAAATATTTTCCAAGAAAAATATAAATCAAATTTAATTTTTTTATAAAAAAATATCAATCAAATGTTAATTGATTATAAACATATATACACGTGTATAAATAAAACACGTTACGCGAGAAATTTTGGATACCTCAACCGTAATATCGAAGAAATTTATGTCACATTAATCAATCCGTAATTTAAATGAATCACAGTCAATTGGAAAATAAATAATATTAATTAATTAATCATTTGTGTGTGTCGTGTTAAATGAAACGCATTATGCGTGATATCGACATGTTTATTGTATACAACGAATTGGTTAATTCAACCTGCATTTAATATCGCAATCCGGATTTCTAATAGATATATATATATATAATCTTCTATATAAAGGGCAGAGGTCTGTCAGAGGGTCGATAAACAGGATTGGATTTTATACCTCGGCACGATTGTAACCGGAGATCTTGCAAAAGCTCTCGTTGCAATAGACGATCGGGAAGTCGACGATCTGTGCATTTGCCAATAAGAAGCTGCTGTCAGCTGTGAACAGAAAAAAAGATAATATGATTCAATATAAATCAACCTTTTCTTTCCTTATTTTTTTTTTCTTTTTTTTACCAGTCAATTTTAACTGAATTTTTTCTTTATTTTCTTTTCTTCGAACTTCGAACTTCGATCTACTTATTTTATTTATCGTATAAATATTTCTAAATTTTTGTATATTTTTTGTTATTTTCGTTAGAATTAATAATTAAATATACGTATTATCTATATTCGGTAAAGATTCGTTTTTTTTTCTCCCTTTTGTAGAATTCATTATTTATTCGTTTATTTGTTTGTTATATAACAAACGTTAAGTATATTAAAGAAGTTTGTTACATTATTCATAACCTTCGACCTAAAAAGGGAATGGTACTTTTGGCTCGTTACTTTTGAATAGATATCTCATTTGAAATAAATAATCAATAGAATTAAATTTACATATGTATATTATATTCAATGACATTTGATCAACGCGATTGAATGAATTAACAATTAATTTCTATTAAAAAAAACGTCGTAATTTAGATTAAATAAAAATATATATATAAAAAAAAGAAAAAAAAAACAATATATAAATCCATTTATAAGTGTCTCATTTTATGTATCTTTTTAATTGAGATTAATACAACCAGAGACATGGCATATAATTTAATATTACAATTTATTATATATATAAATAAATGGTTATAATTTATAGAGAGGAATCGAATGAAAAATAAATCTTATTCGTAAATGTCTTAACCCTCCCATATCTTTTTATTCGAATTTATTACAACCTGATAGAATGATTGTAATTAATAAAAAAGACAAATTATTGTTATTATCTCAAAAATAGAAAAACGAAGTTACGGATGGTAGAAACGTCATCTTAAATTTGTATCATCCAATTTCGTTAACTAAGATTCATCCCTTATCTGGTTGTAAGTTTTAGAGTTACCTAGGACACCCTGTATAAAGATAATAACTAGCCATGTTTGTTTGTTATTCTTGCATGTAAATATATATGTATTCATGCAATATTTTTTGTTTTCTGCTTTCGTGATCGAGAAACACCTGTCTATATTTGATATCCGTCATAAATTTCCATCGAGTTAGAGCTTTTCCTCTAGGTTGGCCATATCTCTCGTTTACAACAGCAACAACAACAAAAAGTATTGTCCGTTTGGTGTACGAACGGATGAACGAACACCAGATTACGCTTCGTATCTCACGTTCGACATTTTTTTTCCCCCTATTTTTCTTTTCTTCTTTTTTATTTCCTTTTCAGGGGAGGTAATAGTTTACGTTTATCCACTTTAGCGTAGATTTTTATCGATCGACGATAAAACAGGTCACTCGTTCGATCCTTCTTTTTTGTTTTTGTTTTTTCTTCTTCTTTTTGAATTTCTTTTTCGCGATCGAAAATAAATTTTCTTTTTTTTTTGTATTGAATTTTAAAACTTGTAAAATTATTATTAAATTCGGTTAATGTATTATTTCAAAGTATGTTTTAGATAAAAAATATGTGATTTTATTGATTATTATTATATAGTATCGTATTGTTTGAAAATGAAAATTTGGATGAAAAAAAAAAACAGAATTATTTCAATCGTTCAACGAACGCATTAATTATTATTATTATTTATTTTGCGTTGGGAATAACGGACGTCGAAAAAAAAAAAAAGAAAAAAGAACAGAAAAAAAAATGTTAACAAAAATTTTGTTTACGATATTTTTTCTAACGTTGTGCTCTTTTCGAAGTGAATCGAGTGAACGAGTTGACGAGAATCGATCGTCTGGGTTTACTCTAAAGCTAAAAGGCTTGTCGACCTTGGAAATATCTCGGCCGGTTAAATAATTAGGATGTGTATCTCGAATAGAGAGAAAAAAAAAAAAAAAAAAAAAAAAAAAGAGTAAAAGAAAAAATCCTCCCGAAAGAAACAAAAGAAATAAAAAAAAAAAGGAAGAAAAACAAAAAACAAAGAAGTATGACACAATTAGTCATTATAATTTGATAAGTTATAAAAATAAAAAGATGATGATCATTATTATTACATGACATTCGAATTAATATTTCTAATCATAATTTTTGATAATTCAAAAAAAAACCGTGTCAGGAAAGGGATCTTTTCCATTAGCATTGTGGGAATGAAGTATAATAAAGATTAAATAACTTTTCGTATTTCTTTTATGTGTCTTTGGTTAGTCCATTAAATGACACATATATATATAAATATATGCAAATACATAGTTAACACATATATATACATACACACGTATACGAAAAGTTGCATAAAAGATATCTATGTATTTAGATAAAGAAACATACTTACATATGAATTTGTTTCCACAGGGATAAACACAGTGACGTTACTCGACTAGCACATAAGTCTCTTGTGCATAAGTTAAATTCCAATATGAGGATATATATGAATATGTGTGTATATGTGTAAGTGTGTAATACAAGCATTAGAAGCGAACAAGTTTTGCCGTTTGCCACATTTCGTGCTCGTTTCGTAGACGCATACTTATAAACTCGGTCGTTTGGGTATATAACGGGTCAAGGCCAAATGCATTATGGCTAATATATATGATCTACGTATGTATATGTGTGTACACGTATGTATGCTGACTAAGAACAGCAGTGTATCTAACAGCTGAGCTTTAGATAAAGCTAAATCTAAATCTAACGTTATCTTATGTGTTAGTGTATAGTTTTGTCTTCTATTACTTTTTTTTTACTTTATTATTTTTTTTTTTTTATATTCTAATCGATGTAACACCCACACACATTTGTTTACTTTAACAATATACTCAACGTGTTACACACTCGTATATTATTTAAATTATTTAAAATTATTTAAATTCGTAGGATTTATCTATCTATCTAACTAGTTATCTATCTTCCTCTATCTCTGTTCTTCTATTTCGTATTCGAAAATGAACACCTGGTAAGGAACATTTACTCTTCTACAGGAAATTGTTATCGACTCTGTGAAAGGTGTTAAACGTAATGTAAGGACTACGAATTACTCCTCATTTGACATTGTTTAAATTAATTACACGTACTCGATCGCGTTTTCTAAATCATACGATAATACTTTTAAACGGAAAATTATCAAATCAATTTTTCTGTTTCTTATTAATCTTGATATTTACATACATATATATATATATATATATATATATATATATATTTTTGTCGATGAAATAAAAATGATCGAATGAAAATTGTTTATACATATATATAACTAACAAACGATTTATCGAATTTATATTGACTTGCATCGTCTTCGATGTATCATAATCCGTTAACTTGTCATCTACAGTTAAGAAGTTTAATAGAAATACAAAAAATTGCAGTGAAGGAATGGGTGGAGGGTTAGAGTGGAGGAGGGGGAAATCGGAACTCGTTACAAATTGCATTCACTGTAAAAAGGTATCGATTGTGGTCGATAATACGGTTAACTCGAGAATTTAATCGGGTCAGTTCGAGGGTATCGATTAGGTTTAATATTTCTTCCCGGAAAAAAGAAAAAAAAGAAAAAAAAAAAAAAATAAGGTGTAAGATAAATAAAAGGAAACACACACAAAAAAAAAGGGAAAGTTTAAAAAGTTTCGCGATACGAATGAAAATGGATATTATTCGAATCACGTACTCGCGTTTCTTCTTCTATGTGATCATTCTTTGTACGGGGGTGAGAGTGGGGAAGGAAAATAGAGGTGG